TAGGGAGTATACTTCATTTATTATTTTAATTTTTTAGATTATTTTAATTTTATAACCATAATCGTAAATTTGACATGTTAATTCATATATTTTTTTTAATTTCACCACTTTACATTGAGTTTATTAAAAATTAAATTTTATAATTTGTTTTGATATTTTATAAGATATTTTTATTTCTTATCATGAGTTTAGCAAGTTAACTTGTGTTAATTTTAGTTTCTTTAATTATACATTTCAATACTAGATTAATTAAAAATTAAATTTAATAATTTATTTTATTTTATTTGTAGAATTATTATAATCTTATGATTAACTTAAGTTAGACCAAGTTTTTTTGTAATTGTCTTTTAATTAAATTTTTTAATTTATTTTTATTTAATTTCAATGAGGTCATCATAGTCTTTAGACATAGCATACAAATTGATAAATTAATTAGAGTTGAATAGGATCTATTTAATATATTATTGTCTCAATATTTATAAAAAAATATTATTTTAAATATTTATTTTGAATTAAATTATATTTTTATTGGTCATTTAAATTATTTTTTAAACTTACCAAGTTGATTAATTCATAACAAATTAATTCTTAAATAATTTAAATGTTTTATACTAAAAAAATTAACAATATTTAAATATTTTATTGAATTTTATTTTTAAATTAATCTAACTCAAAATGCAGCACGGTTATCAAGTCACGGCTAAAAGTCTGAAATAGCTCTAAAATCCCGGGAGAAGAAACATAGAACTTGCCGAATAAATTGATCATCGTGGATAAATTTCCCAAAAGCATTTACATCGCTTGCTCCCTCAAATCTGCTACAAAAACCTTGAACTCAGATTTATTTTTACTGTTTTTCAAGCATAGAAATCTAGAGAATGTTACATTGTAATTCGAAAATTCACCTGTAAAGATTCAGCAACGAAACCAGCCGTGGGATCGCCGAATTTGGACGGATCCCAACTCTGGTACTCAGATCCAAGTTCCTCGAGAGATCAATGGCAGTCTAGTCTAGCTCCTCATGTTCTTACCAACTACAAGACAATGATCAGCATATACTTGCAAAGAGAATCGACGAGAAGTTCCCATGAAGAAAATACAAGCGCCGATATGTAGAAGTTATGGACAAATTAACAGATAATTTAGTCTGGTAGTGTTTATTTTTAAAATTTATTTTTAATATTATATTATTAAAATAATCTGAAAAAATCTAAAAATTAATTTAAAATAAATAAATAAAACAAATTTTAATTTTTTTAAAACATAAAAATAAAAGTTAATTGTATTCGGCTTTTGTCAACATACAGAGGGATAATGACAAAAATCCTAAATCTAGATCGGGTGAGCTACTGCAGGATGACAGTAGCCTTGCGCTTACAGCAGTCTTGTTTGAATAAGTAATAAAATACAAACAGAAATATGAGATGTATGATCATTGCTGAAAGAATAATGATGAATCCACATGGCTCAGAGGCTCTGCTGCTCACATTTTGGCCAGACCAATCCTGCAGCAAGCACGTGATGGCAAACAGTACCTTGAGCCCATAGGATCCTGGTAATTGTGAGAAACAGTAGTCTATATAACAGCGGAAACTAATCCTAGTGGATGAATCGCTCAGTTCACCTTGAACATTAGTGCACCGGCAACGATGGTCAGAGCTGTAAAACCCAGAATTCCCTTTTCCTCCAAATCTCGAATTTGTACATAAAAATGCCAGCTTTATAACACAAGCACGTTAACAAGTCGTCGTGTTTTTTTAATTGAGTTGTTTAGCTTTGTTTTCTATTATCTAGTCTGTTTGAAAGTTGATTTTTATTATTTTATATTTTTTTATTATAATAATCTTGATCTCATAAATAGGTCAAGGTCTTATAAAAATATTTAGAAAGTATTTTTTTATTATAATAATAATAAATATTTATTTTTTTACTAAAAACTGTCATTTATTTATTTTCTCTGTTTTTTTTTATAATTATATTATTAAATCAATTAAATTTAATAAAAATATTCAAACCAATAATGATCCATCCCGAATTTTATTGCTTCTATAAGAATATTATGATTGTTCGAATATTTTTTTTATATTAGAAAAAACAACGACACGGCAGTATCATCGAACACAGTTTACTACAAGTTCGGTAAACGACTGGCCCAAACAAATCTTAGCTTACGGTTAGAGAATGTCCTCCTCAGGCACGCAAAGCTATTAACCCCATTATGCGAATGGCAAAAAATCAAGCCCTAAAAAAAAATAAAAAAAACATTTACGTACTTGACTAGTTAAGACCACACAAACGACAGAAAATCGAGTCCTCTACAACTCCCTGCCGACCACTGCGTGTTTGGAAACCTCAACAACTCCCTGCCGACCACTAAGGGTGTGTTTGTAAATTTAATAGGAATTGGTTTTTAAAATATTTTTTATTTAAAAATATATGAAAATAATATTATTTTATTTTTAAAAAATGATTAAAATATAGGCGGGACGCCACATCCATGGGGTTTCTTATCCACAATTCAAAAGGAAAGATATTTTCTACTCCACGAATCTGTATCCAAGCAACGGATATCATACGGACCACAATTTTTCCACATTGAACCCTTCTTCCTCGGAATTGTCATTTCTACAAGACAATGAGTCACTTTCACAAACACAATCCTGCGAACGCAGCATCTATCTCCTCTCTTGTCCCCTTATCCTCTCCCATGCCAAATAATCAGGCACTCTTCTGGGTTCAAATTCAAAGTCTCCAAAAACAAATAAATTAAAAGCACACTAGAACGATCCATTTCACAGATTATTAGCAAATTAAAAGGTAAGATAACGCAATCAAGAACTCCGATGGAAAGTAGTAAGCCTGTCTTATTTATGGTAGCTCAATTTCATCACATGACAGAGTGGTGACCACCAAAACCCAAGAGGACATTAAAACAAAGGCCTCAAAAGCTAAACATAAAACACCCAGATCCTAGACCACTAAAACACACCAAATACTAGATAAGACCCAGCATCAAAGACATGGCCAGACGACATGTCAATCAATGCCCTCTAAGAGAGTTGACCGCAGTCCGCAATAGCAACAGGCTTAGAAGTCTTGCCACTTCCAGATCCAACCTTCTCGATAGCCTTCACCACATCCAAGCCTTCAACAACTTGACCAAAAACGACATGTTTCCCATCAAGCCACTCCGTCTTGACAGTGCAGATAAAGAACTGAGATCCATTGGTTCCTGGACCAGCATTAGCCATAGATAGCACACCAGGTCCAGTGTGCTTCTTCACGAAATTCTCGTCAGCAAATTTAGCTCCATAGATCGACTCACCGCCGGTACCATTTCCAGCAGTAAAGTCACCACCTTGGCACATGAAGTTAGGGATCACACGGTGAAAGGTTGAACCCTTGAAGTGAAGTGGCTTGCCGGACTTGCCAACACCTTTCTCGCCAGTGCAAAGTGCGCGGAAGTTCTCGGCGGTCTTCGGAACAATATCGGCGAAGAGTTCCATGACGATCCGACCAGCAGGCTGGCCGCCGACGGACATATCAAAGAAAACCTTGGGGTTTGCCATTATGAAAGAGAGAAATTAGGGATCAGCCTTCTAAGTGAGAATATTAAATCGAAGGTTGTTTGTTAGGATTTTCAGTGATATGGGGGTGTTTTTATAGGGAGAGAAGTGGATTTAGACCGTTAGATCAGGACACGTGGATGGATCGAGGTGGTCGGAATTTAACTGTGGTTAGGTTTGTTATGACTAGGGTTAAGTGAGGGATTCTAAGTGGCATGTGTTGTTTGTCGGGGCCTGTGGTTTCGTTTGGATATGGCAAGTCTTTGTTAGGATTTATGAGGGGATAGGTAAATTGTACAAATTTCGTGCATGATGGGCCATGATTAATGTTGGACCGTTGATGGAGAGAAATCTAAGATAATCTAATGGTGGAGACTGTTTAAGGTAGTCTCATTGATTTTGATTTCAAATCCCAGTAAGATTAATGATCCCAAGGGTAGGTGATTAAATCACGGGAGTGTAATTGAATCGTATTTTTAAAATTTTATTATATTTTTTTACAGATTTAAATTATATTTTTTAGTGTTTTCTTTAATATAGAGGTAGTGTCTATATATATATATATATATATGTATATATAAACACCACCTCGCATCTTAATGTTAAACAAATCAAAATCATATCAATAAAGTATTGAAATATTCAATAAACATGGTAACTGAAAGCTATAATTAGGCAGGGTGGCCTACTAGCACTGAGGAACCTGTCCATTTACTAAGCCATTCAACCTCACCATACTGTTGTTAAGGGACTGTTTTTACCTAAACAAAAAAAATGCTACCTTTTTCAAAAGTAGAAGCTTCCAAGAAACATTTGTTACGCAAGATAATGCAAGTGGCCTCTTTTTTTCTTGGTGAAATTACAAAGAAGCCAGTGGCAGCTTGAGTTTACCCGATTAGTTGGTTTACCTTGGTCTGAGATCTGGTCAAAGGATACCAGTTTGCGCCAGACTCCCCATTTGTTAGTATTTCGTTGGAAATAGAAGTTGAGTAAATTTAATTTTTTTATATTTTTAAATTATTTTAATTTATTGGTATTAAAAAAAATTAAAAAAATATTTTAATATATTTCTAAATAAAAAATACTTTTTAAAAACAATCACTACCAGTATCACACAAACCTCATAGATTAATAAAATATGAGATTAATTCCTTTAAAATTACTCCAGATAGCAAGCATATACAATTACAAATATTTTAAAGAATACATAGATGGAGGATGTACACCCCCGGAGTTAGTTTTTAACATTTACATGGTAGTGATGATTTTGACATTATTCAAGGAACGAATCACCTGGGACCCATTCCCGGGATGAATTGCATTACCATCGGCATATGAAAAGAAAAAAGGACACATTTCTTCTCCGGAAGTCTAGTTGCTTTAGGAGCACACAAACATATTTGACAAGACAAAAAAATTTATCTTTAAAATAAATTTCTGTAATTTTTTAGAAGATAGTATAATCGAAAGCTTTGTATTTACAACAATTGACTCGCCGAAAATACATTCTACTTCGAGGCATCACGCATGCAAAGGGGCAGGGTCCCAGCACAAAAGAGAAAAAACAGGCCCCTAGATCTATCCATTTCCCCACGTGATTACAACAGTGCATCTCTTGCAACACGATACCTTTAAATCACGAAAGGAAGATGACTACAGGACAAAGCAAGATTCATGACATTTGGGGCCATTTTCATGTTTTTTGCGTGATATTCCTCAGCTTAAATCGAGGAACCAAGAAAATCTAGGTGACGCTGTATGGTTCCGATATTGTACACATGTTAATAATGGCTAGCAGAATTTTTCATTCTAATCTTACGAAAATATTGGGCATGCCAACATCTGATATCTGTACACAATTTTCATAATCCGTCACCAACCCAACTAAGTTAAGCTATTCTTCCACAAGTGCTTCACAGGAAACCTTCGGTCTGTAACAATCCAGGATAGACAAGAGATATTATGTGTTTCAAGGATGTCACTGATGCTTTTATGAACGCATGCCCTTCCATGGCTGCAAAAAATAAATAAGGCAATTATAGTAAATCTAGAGATTAAATTTGAACGATAGCTGGCAGTATGATGGGACCATTACCTTTTAATAACAATTTCACTTCCTTTGAAAAATCCTCCACGCGCCCTAATACAGGTCTTATGCCACAAATCTGAAAAACGCAGAGCTCCAAATACAGGGCCATCTCCATTATTTGTAGTAGTAAGAGACAGACTGATTTGATTTCAGGATTCATATGCTTTGATTTGTTTGAACCACACAGTTCAGAAACAATTGCGACTGCTTGATCCTGCATTTTAAATCATAACACGTCAGACCAGGTATCAAAAGCATACAGTTTAGACAGATTTATACATCAATTGAAACATAGAAATCACTCATTGATGGTGAAACTTCAATTTTGGAAGACTAGAAATTTTGGCCCAGAAGTACCAGCAGTCACTAATGCAAAAGTAAGCCCTGAACTTCAATTATCTTAAACCATTCACATCCCTTCAATGAGAGGAGTGGACTGGAAGATAATATAAGAGCACTGAGCACAATTTTACCTGCAAGCCATGCAATAGGTCTGGCATCGGCAGCTCAGGAATCTGAGCAAGATCAACAAACCCCATTTCCTCGGACCTTTTAGCAGCACCTTCTGCTTCCATAGAGAGATATTTCAAGAGAAGATAAGCAATCCTGTAGATCTCCAGGGCAACCAAGTCTGAAAAATATGTTGGAGAAACTGGATTGGTAATTTCAGTTGACTGTCCCTTGACTACAAATGCACTACTGTTGGCTGAGAAAGCAGAAGACTTGAGCTTTGACACACAACAGACAGGTGAAAGAGCAAACCATCCATTCCTGCTGTTTAGAAATGATGGTTCCTTGCAGCACTCTAACTCCTCTTTGAGGATAGGAGCGCATAAGAGGGGGGCAGTTCTGCTGGAAGATTCCCCAAAGCGATGAGTTCCTCTGCTAATAAAGGCTAATAAATGAATACTTTTCTCCCGCAGCTCTGAATCCATTTCTTTCATGACCTTAACCCATGACCTCCAATGTCTCGATAGCGCACACATCAACATGAGAGTATGTTCTGTTTCTTTAAGAGCACTCAGAGAAGTCTCTGTCTTTTTCGCTCGTGGTCTTTTCTTGTCATGACTATCAGATGGAAAGTCAGGTGCACTGAGATAATAAGAAATCAGATCAGCTTTCTCTGAAAAAACATAAGGTATCACGTTGTCCAGAATATCAGTATAAGAAGAACTGTCTCCTAAAGATTGAACCATAGCTACGATCACTGCCAAGCCAAGGCCCCAAATAGATTGAGGCTTTTCTATTTTGTCAGAAGACTTTAGGAAGCCACTATCATTGGTCATAACTGTGGAAAGCCCAACATCTGATGAGTCTGCAAACAAAACTCTAAGAGATGAGAAGAAACCAGCACTAAGGAGCATTTCAGCACCTCCTCTCACACGTGCCAGAGTCAGAAGGAGCTTCAATGTAACTGGAACAGATGAGAAAGAACTTTTATCATGAACTTTCAGAATGACACGAGGTAATTGGAGATGTTTCTGTATGATGGGGAACCAAGTGTTAGGTGTCAAAAAACTTGTCAGTACTAAGTCAATGGTAGCCAACGAGAGGGAACAATGCTCAGTAGCTGTGATGCAATTGCATAGGATAGGCAAAAGCCCCAGACAACCATTTGAAACCTCAGCAAAGTCTTCAGATTCCTTATCTGAAGTATTACTAATCTCCAAAGTGAAAAGAAGCAGCATGAGCAGAAGCTTCATTGTTTTTTTAACCCCAGTAACAGATGACCTGAAATCACTCAGCAATTTGAGGCCAGAACCTGACGTTTTCAAGACAAGTATACAAACAGATAAAGATAGGTTGCTCTGCGCAGATTTCATGAGATGTAGAATTAATTCTGCTAGTGCAGCAAGGAAATCAAGAATCTCTTCAGAGGCATCCAGAACTGGAGCTAGTGATTCCACTGTGGTGCGAAAAGATTTGCATATGTTGTTGATGCATGAAAAGCAGAGTTGGTCAGGAATCTTCCCCTCAGTAGTGCCCTTATTTTCTGGTGACTACATGGGAAAGAAAACGCTAAACATTTCAACAAGCAAGAAATTCTAAAACCATTTTTTTTTTAGATTATATCCATAAAGGGAAGAAGGATAAACATAAAAATAAATAAGCCCTTAAAAAAAATGCTAAAATAGTGGGCAGTTAACAGATGTCAATGCCGGATAGCCTGAAACCATAAACTTTCTCAATCAAAGAATCCATGACTTCAATCAATAGTGTTATAACAAACTTTTCAAAGAACTAGCAGACGGTTATAAAAAATAGATGCACCATAGACACTATTTTGGCATTGCACTCTTTACCATCACATACAAACTCCAAGAAATTCCAAAAAAAAGCCGGTGTTGCATATTCAAACAACGAAGTTATCTCTCAAAATGATATTATAATTAATGCAGCATATTTTTTAATAAGTTAAATGTTTGGTAAAAACACCAAACTTTGAGGCAAGTGTTCGGTTTTTCAAAGCTTTGTGTCCCCAGCCAACAAAAAGAAAAAAAAAACAGAAGCCCTGACAAAATGTTAACAGATCCTTGTCGTCAATTCAATATTGCAAAATCAGAAGCTGCAATAAATAGCAGTGATAATTCAGATACTCACATTATCTTCCCACATGGTCAGGGCAGTTAGCAATGCTTTCAGTGCAGAAAGCTTTGAAGAAGCTAGTAAAACCATTGAATTTGCATCCTGGAAGCACTCCAGCATAGTTTGTGCAATTGCTTTTGAATCTTTCCAATCTGTATAATCCCACATATTTAATCCCAAATCTGATCGTATGCGCATAAGGTCATACAAGTGAGTATCTTTGGTGTTTCCATAATGATTGCCACCGTACTTGTGTTGATAGCTCAGCAAACAGTTTGATTCCACCAGATACTGACAGAGTTCCTTAAACGGTCCAGGACCAATTTTACGACCTTCTAGCTCTCCTTGTAAATGGTGATAGAGATCGTTGAGGATCAGACCTTTTAGTTCCTTTCCTTCACTGAGAAGATAGTGAAAATTTTTAACTCAACCTATTAGGTTATAGGTTCAAATATTTTAAGAACTCAACCTATTAGGTTATAGGTTCAAATGAATCAAAACCCAACCCAAATTTTCAAACTACCAAAGGAGTTAAACCCTTGGTGATGTCACATCAGACTTTGGAAAAGATTCCATTGGAAATAAGCATTTCAATTCATACAACCACAATCCAAGACGTATAGATTTCTCAGTTAAGAGTGATGCATTAAAAAGATGTTCAAATAAAAATGAAACCTGTGTTGACATTACCTGTAACCCTGCTGAGAGTATTGTGCCAACAATTCAGAAAAGGCAAGCTGACAACTCAACTGTTAATTCACCAAAAAAAAAAAGGACGCAATGTCACCTTAAAATAGTTGGATAGCAAAGAAATTGGGATATTCTTGTTAAGGAATAACTATATGACCTCTTGAAGGGATTGTCAATGAGCTATCAACGTAGAAGTGAATGGTCATTGAACAAACAACTAAATAGAAAAAAATTGCTTGACCAATTAAAGGCAGTATCATACATGTTTAAAAGTGATCTGGATCTTCTCAACCAATGATACCGATAAACTTCCTGCATTACCAATCACTAATTTCCCCATTGCATGGACAATGAACAAACTGGCAGCAACCTGCAAGAAGCAGAAGACAATGTAATTGTGGATTGTTCCTTTAATGGGTGTTTCCAGAGGGGTTTAGATCCTAAAATGGTTCACCAAAGATAAATGATCACAACAACAGAATTAACAGAACCAAAACTAATATAAATAAATAAAAGAGAAATTTAAAAGGGACCTTTGCACGATTAGATATTTCATTGTCATATTCACAAGAAGCATATAAATTGATCAGATTGCCAAAAATCGGTCTCTTCCACCAGCTTGACAAGATATCTTTCAACTCACAATCATTTACTGATTTTGATTTTTCTGTGCTTGATGCTTTATTATTTCTCTCCAATTCAGACACTTCTTTTAAGACAGACTCAGCATGCAATAACTTCTTCTTCAGGAACATGTCATGAGCCATCATTTCCAATATAGCAGATTGACATTGATATTTTAATGCCAAGCTTTGAGACTGAGTTTCAGCGACATTCTCAAAAGGTGATGCTATCGAGCGAGCATCTGATGAGATACAATTGGACAATTGTTTCCAGAACTTTCCAGAGCTCTTCAGGCACTCCAATATAGATATATAATGAACAGCCCCTTGCCATAGTGCCTTGAGGAAATCAAGAACAGTGAACAGTACACGGGGATTGCTGGAGATAAAGAAAGTTTCAACAAATTATAGCAACACAGCTTATGAAGATGAATCATATCAAGCATGCTAAACAAAAAGCATTATCTGAACATCACAGAGATAGTGGTTTGATCAATGTGAAATAGCAAGTTTACAGGGAATTTTTCAGCACCAATTTAGGATTTAAAGAAGGAACTTGTTTAGTTGCAGAAAAACATTTACTTATATTATTGCTGACCCTAATTAATCGCCTGTTTCTTCTCTTATCCCTTCTTTCACTTAAATTTCTCCTCCTGACAAGTTCTGTGTTTGTTCCTTAAGCTCATTAGCATAGCTTTGTGTCACATCAAATAGTAAAATTCCTGAAAAATAATGACTGATCTTGTGTGAGCAAACCTGTCAATAAATTCGTTTGATCTTTCAACATATTGCATAAGCCCATTTAACAGACTTGATTTCTTGGAACACAATGAACCATTTGAAAGTTCATTTATAGGCTGCTTTGTGCCACCACCATTACTCAACTGGACCTCTGTATCCTCTTTTAGGGAAAAAATAGCAAGAAGATAAGCAGGCTGCAACAGAGAAACCACCAATTAGCAACAATGCAGACAAGCTAGAAAGCTGTTATTGAGATATTGGACTTATGTTCACAAAATAAAAGCTATCCAAATATTTTCCATGAGGAAGTAACTATTGATACAACTGTAAATGACTTTGACTTTAACAAGTGACAAACTTGGTTTTGAAAAGCATAAGAGGTTATTCTTGCACCCCCATTCTTTCCATGAGAAGAATACATGACAAAAGGATTGCAAAGTTTAGTGACAGAAGTCCAATTTAAGTGGCAAGGAATAGGAAATAAACCGACCAACGCTAAACTTCTTGACTTCTGCACAGTGCAACATACCTGATAACGAGCTGCATAAGTAAGCAGATTGACTGTAGCAACAAATAAATCTTCATTCCATTCCAACTGCTTAACTAATGTGCTTTTAACAAAATGCCTCATATCTGCGATCTAAACAAAAGCATTTAATCAAAATTAGGATAACAGCAATCAAATGCCAAAAAAATAATTGCCAGCTTGAGATGCCAAACCTGCTTATCATCCAGACCAAAGCATACATTGCCAGACAAATATGGTTGCACATAATCTGCTGTTGTAAACAACATAGATAACACCTTAGCAGCACCAACCTGTACTGCCTGCATATAACATAAAAATGCAAAGATGAAGAGTAATTTTCCATATGATCAATTGAACATGGAACACAGATATTATTGAAAATTAATGTGTCTGATAATGAACAAACATAAAGTCAAAGGGATATAGACAACTTAATATAGGAGACCAGAAAAGCCATGTTAGATATAATAGGTGAATGTAATTACTAAGAGAGAAAAATAGAATTTAGCAGGATGAATTTCAATTCCATACAGGAGACCGAGAATATGATATCAACGATATAGCAGCTGCAACAACAGGGATTGGTTTCATAGTAGATGACAGCACTGATAGGTGAAAGACTGGAAGATTCGGTGAGATATCCTGAAAAAATAACACAAAAATTATGAAGTGGGTATAGAAAGATTTAAATAAAACATGGATCAGTAAGATCTACAAAGCAGAAAAAGTCTGGCAGTTGAAGATTCATTTATTTTATTTGTTTTGGAGCATGGATTAAAAGTTTGAAGTTTATTAGAAATTTCTGTTCAAAGTAACAATCACGAGAACTTGGGAAGACATGTGTCAATTTATTTCACATCATATGCAATGACAAACATATATAACCCTAGAACAATACCTTACAAAATTTGGAGAGCATCATATATATAATATCCAAAGCAGAGCTAATAGCAAGCTGACACCCTTCAATCTCCTCCAGTTCAACGAGACGGCTGACATAAAGATTCTGTTCACAAATATGCTTATTTAAATAGTAAGCAAACAAAAGCAAACCAACTTCTCACTACTAAGGAAAACAATGGAACAAGAACAACAAACATGGCTTACCTCTAAGGTTTGCTTGGTTGTACAAGCAAGATGAAAGAGTGCATTGTGGATGGAAGAATCATTGAGTAACATATCTCGGACTACCAGGGCCAATTTTTCAGAGAATGAGACTGATGTGATGCATGTTTTCATTACTTCCAATACCTAAACAGTGCAAACATAATTAAAAAATGATTCATATAGCATCTTTTACCTTCCATAGAAACACCAGCACCTCTGACTCCATTTAAAAAAACGTACTTGGCATGTCCATAACACTTAAAATTCAGCTAAACCAAAGAATCTTCAGATTGGAAGAATGACTCTATGATAACCATCACAACATGAAACCCCAAGTAACTTCAGGATGCAAACTTTTTAAACAGAGAATTGCCCCTATTCCCGATGTAGGATAACAGCCATGAAATACCTCTTGGACTGACTATTGGAAAACATCAGATTTGCTCTTTACGTTGTTTCTCTTTGATCATGGAATTTCACCTCGCTCAAACTGTTTTAGGTATTCTAGGAGGACTACTCCCCCACTCGCATAAAAGCAGAACTGTATGTGGTTATCATGGTGGGTCCCACCTTTTATGTGAGAGGATGAGTGGTACTCTTGAATAGCGAATAATTGCTCCCCCCCTACCTCTCAAAATATTTCATATTTCTTGAGCCCCTATTATAAATAGCTTCAGCCAATAATAAAGCAGGAAAAAAGCCATACGCTCAGGGAGTGGGAGAAGCTTGGGTCGAGCCACTCTCCTGGCTGCTCTCAGGTGGCAACCTACACTACTCAGCAGGCTAAGACTTCTACCATATCAACATACAATGACCATAAAAATAGATGTGAAATATGTTCAAAAGTAGAAACAAAGCAACTAAGGGAACCAATTAATTGCAGCTGGCATAACAATAACACGTACCTTCAGTGTTACTTTCCATCTAACATGCTTCACCTTGTATTTCCAGTACTCATGATTAACAAGAATATACTGCAGAGAGAAAACGACCAAGGCCAGAACCAGATCATTCTCTAATCTTGCCTCCACTAGCTGCATGGTAAAATCCAGCACTGCAAAGGATTACAGCATGCATTTCAGATAAAAAACACAGGGAGTAACAAAGTTAGAGTAAGTCTACGATAGAGAGGTATGAAAATTCATGACAAAATCAATAAATAGAATTGCTAGTAAACAAGAAGATACAAGTTACATGTTAGATCCACACAAATCTAAACAGTAAAGTAAATTGGTGCTGCAATAATAGTACTGACATGATATGAACAAATCTAAACAGTAAAGAAGTAAATTAGTGCTGCAATAATAGTACTGACATGATATGAAAACCAACCACTAACATCACAAGCATCGCAGATTAATGAAAACAAGGAATATGGCATTATCAGAAGAGCCAAGTGAAAATGCAAAAATGCTAATAATTCAATAAGATTTCTCGAAAACCAACCACTAACATCACAAGCATCGCAGATTAATGAAAACAAGGAATATGGCATTATCAGAAGAGCCAAGTGAAAATGTAAAAATGCTAATAATTCAATAAGATTTCTCTTAAAAGTAAGAGAGAGATGCACAGCTATTTCAATTTGCTATATCCCATATTGGTTGTGATCAGATAATCATCTTGAGATCAACTATGGCTGTATAATGTAATTGTAAACCATTTAGTCAGACTGAAAAGTAAAAGACAAGCAATCACAGCTTTTGCAGATAGAGAGCTTCTCTCCTCTCCTTCATGTGCATAGCCACATTATCCAACCACAATCATGTTGATTTATTTCAATTGTTCTTATGTTTAAATCCTCAGAAATGGTTATGTCCAACTAATAGATTGAAACAGCAACTTGGATGCCAAGTTTAAGATTTAGTCCTATCACTTCTATTATTGACAGTGCACACAAAGTGTCTACCAAAATGCTAAATGCACCCAAAAGACAACCAACCATCCTGGTTCTCTGGGACAACGCCACTGAGCATAAAAAGGAGGGTATTCTAGAGAAGAACTGAGAGAGAGAGAGAGAGAAGAAAAAAGGATGCACCACCCATTTTACATTTAGGAAAGCTCAAAAACCGAGAGAGAGAAGAAAAAAGGATGCACCGCCCATTTTACATTTAGGAAAGCTCAAAAACTGACATATAACAACTTCCAAAATCAGATAATAAATCCAAGCAGAAATCACAAAACTGAAAAGAAGCTAACCATACTAATGATGAAATACAAAATACAGTTAAGAGATAAACCTGATATAGTTAATGGTTTGTCATAATCATTTTGCTCAGAGTCTAGTAATAGCATTTTTACCAGTTTTCCCGAAAGCAACCACGATCCACTAGATCAAAGAAAGTGTAGGCAGAATCAGAGAACATCAAGTCAGTATAATGAATAATAACCCCTGCCGATAGAAAATGCAGCCTGTATATGACAAGAAATTATGAATAAACATAAAGGCAACCTTAAATCAATTACTAACATCCAAGCCCACAAACTTCAACACCCCTCCCCCACTGGAACCCCATGTCCCCTCTCTTTCCGTAGAGAGTGTGGTGCATAATTGAGTAAAGATAACCGTTCGATTTTATCTTATAATCAACTATATGACTAGCTCAGGTAAACAGGAAGTAACAATTCCACACTATTACAGTTCTATAATGCAGTACAACCTAGCAACAGAATCACTATCCTTTTTTGCTTTTTAACTTACAAAATATATCAAACCCATGTGACAATGAAACTATAAAAAATTGCAAAGGTTGGGCTATCTTTTTTTCTTTTATAGTTAAAAGAATCAAACTTGTGTGATAATAAATAAAGTGAATCCTATAAAAAAGAATTTCAAAAGGCAGGTAAAGAGACCATGAATATCAAATACAAGCATTCTTTAACATAATCACAGGTATGTATAGATCTACATGTTTTACCTTGATGGGCCATCACAGCCAACTTCAAAGGCACTTGTCTTCCAAGTCGCATCAAATATATTTGCTTTCAGGACAACAGCAGCAATATGAGATGGAGCACTAGCAAAAGAGGACAAGGAATAAATACATTATGACTGAGGTTGCAGCAATGAGTTTGGTTATTGATTATAAACAATGTTCAGTGAAACATAAATTTAGCATAACAAAGAAGAAAAGATGCACTAGATTCTTAAAAGAATGTAAAATGCATCATTCAGTTACTGCAAAAATATAGAATTCCCTGTATGTTCACAAATGATTAAAGAAATCACCAATGAACACATAATTGGTAAAGAGAAAGAACAGTTGAATTACCATCTCAACATACTTGCTAAAATACTGATACCCATGGACATTACTGCAGCATTGCCAGAATTAGAAGACGATTTTTTTATCACAGCACAAATGACCTCAACTACCCTACAGAAAAAGTGAAGGAAAATCTATTTGATCAGAAAAGATAGAGGCAAATTGGAAATATAGCCATCAAGGTATCAGATAATAAAATGAAAAGAAAAAAAAAAGCAAAAGGAATCATGCAGTCGATTACCAAAACTTCTTTTCCATCTGCTCACAAAAAAGAAAAAAAGGCAAAAGGAATCATGCAGTTGATTACCAAAACTTCTTTTCCATCTGCTCATTCACTCCTGCAGCTTGAAGATAAAATGTGTTGCCAATTTCCATCATTGTAAAAGTTATGGCCTACACATCAATATGTAAGAAACATATCTGGTTAGGGGAAAAAATTGAAATCCAAATCCCATTCCTTGCCAATATCATAGACTAGTTTCTAAAGATACATCAAACACGAGGCAGCCAAACCTTAAGAAATTTACCGTGTTAAAAGACACTAGTCGGCTCAGAAGGTCAAAAGTAAGAAAAACTTCCTTTTTGCTCTCCAGATAAAGCTCATTGACCAAACGCAGGAGCAAGACAAGCACCCCTGATTGTGCATACTACAAAAATAGATGCATGTTGGCAAGGAAGGGGCACATAATAGAGATTGCATTGAAACACATAAATATCTTAAGACTTTTCTCTGCCAATTCATATGTTTATGAAGAATCCTGGTCAAACAAGCTATCTCAAAAAGAAACTCCATTTTGACATTTTAGGATCCACATACAATACAAAATATTATGATTTACAAGAATTAGCGAGTAATGTGAAGAAAGAAAAGGCAATTCTACCTACAGCAATCAAGTCATGCAGATGTTATGAACAAAGCCAACACTCGGAACCACCATCTAGTGAATAAGTCAGTAAAAGGTAAGCAAAATTAGCCATGTCAAAGGAGGAGATTTATAAAAAGCAAATATCTATCCCTGTCAGTTGCAGAAACAGTGGAATGGCTTTCTCCCAAAGTCAGTTACAACTCTGGGAAGAGTGCTTGAAATAAGTGATTTGCACGTGGCCTGATTGTTTGCTAATAAAGAAGACGCTTATGAAAGTAGGTAGCAAATCAAAATGTAATTACGCTTCAATGCTGTTTCTTAAAAATTAGAAAATGACATTTTGCTTTCAGATATGAGTACCATGCTTGCCATTTAGAAAAATGGAGATAGTAACTGCATAAGCACTTAAGAAAATCCCCCTCCCTTGTTTACCTACAAAGACAGTGAAAGACTGGAAAAAAGCCAAGAAGAAAGAAAACAGATTTACAACATCACAAATGCCATCTTTATTGTTCTTCAATTGTTGAACTTCAGCAACAGTAAGAATCCCAATTGGAAAACCCATGTTGCAAAATCTGGAAGGATACATTCATGGCACACAATTAGCAAATACTAAAAACATTTATGAACTTCAGCGTTTACCTCCCAACGTACAAGAGCAGTATTCCCATCAATAACTTTTAAAACATGTCCACGAGTTTTACTAGGAATGACTAAACTGTCTGCCCCAGGAACATGCAGTGGCAGTTGAGTTTCAACTGCTTGAGAGGCGCTGTCAACCAGGGACTCGCTAGTAATTTCAACCAAGGAAGATACACCAACATATTTATCAAGAAAGTTATACCTGTTGACAACATGAATAGACAATGTATCAGTTTGCAATCACTGAGCTAGCGACTTATTGTTGAAGCATATATCTGCCCATCACTTTGCTCAACATCCCACATTACCATTAAAAAAAAAGGCTCCCATGCTGGGCAAATCAAGGACATTTTACTAAAGTAAAAGGATCTCCAAGAAAAAGAAAAAAATTCCAACTTACACACATTCTGCTGGCCAACTTCCTTCACAAAGGGCTGATAAAAGACGAACAAATTCTGCAGTCCTGAAGGGAAATAAACCTTCCAAGTTGCAAAGAAGACACCGAATAGGACCATCAATAAAACTTTCCTTGTCCCAAAACTGAATACAAAGTGACTCCTGCAGAGTTAATGGGCAAGAGTCTCTTGAAGCAGTGAATTGTGAGCAATAAATATGATCCAAAAAAACATAGCTGGCTGTATGATAATAGCAATACACAAACCTCTCCCCGATATATATTACAAAGGATATCCAGTATAAGACTGAGGGTGCTGTCCTCTAACTGCATCAGGGAGAAAGCATTAAAAATAAGAAACATGTTGATTGAGTGCTCAAAAACCAATTAAAACAACCTACACATGCAATTACCTGAAGATTAATCTCATAAGATGCAATGAATGAAGAAATAAAGGTTCTCAAGACACTTCGATAACCAGCAACAGGTCCCTAGAGAGAGAAAAGACACAGCATGTAACAGCCAAAGAAAATGTAAGCTGGCATTATTAACCTAGACACAAACACCAAAATTTTTTGCAACCTTATAACTCATCCCATAAACCCTAAACACCCCAAAGTGAGAATAACCTACATCTGATTCCTTCAACAAATCACTTTCAAGAATGTCAACAAAAATACTCAGCGATGCACCTTCAAAGGCTTGACGAACATAGCCAACATGATCAATCTCCTGGAAACAAAGATAAGGTGGAAAACAGTCAGCATTGATAGTATGAACACATAATGCTACAATAAAGGAACATTTGAAAAACTACTCACCATTAGTACACTATTTTCCTCACTTCCAGGAAGTGATGAAATTAGACAGAGACATACCGCCCAAGCAAGAATTAGTGGGCCAGCTTCTCTCGTTCCAAGTGTAACAAAACTAGATATTAACACATCCATCTGTTGGATATCAGTCACGGAAAACACAGAAGGACCCTGCCTGGGAAAACGACAAAACAAACATTCTAACAATTAGCAAAAGCACATAAGTAGACAAAATGAAGGGAAATGATACTTTGAAAAGGATAAGGTAAAACTAACAGCAAGGTAGAAACCTGAAAGGTACTCCATCATGCATCAGTTGAAGAAGATTTTCAAGGTCCAGGGTTTCTATAAGAATAAGTAGGAGCTGGGTGCAGGCATGATAAGAAGACTTTAGTGCTTCAGCTGAGATTGCCAGCTTTCCAAAGTTATACGAACCAGATAAGATCCCCTGTGAAATGATGTTTATGAGGCATGATTAGGATAACAAAGGGATATGGATATCAGTTCCCAAAAAGGTTAACAATATACCTTGTAAAGCAAGCACAGTTTTTTCCATTTTTCACCATTACAAGTACAAAGTGACTCGTAATAAAGCAGGAAAAGAATGTCCAAAACCAAATTGTCTTCAATCAGTGTCTCCTCAGCCCACAAAGTGAAAAGATCAACATCCTATAAAGTATTCCGAAAATCAGCATCTAATGTTAAAGGCCATAAATGCAATAGCTGATTGGAATAAGAGAAGCAGATATCCATTTTATCACCAGTAAAGCCCTTAGCAGACACCGAAAAGTACACATTAAAAAAGAATGAATATACGATGACTAGCAAAAAAATATTATCAATCAGAAACTCTGGTCATTTAAATATAACAAGTTAAGAAACAGAACCAAGAAATTATTTCTAAAGAATAAACAATTTGGTAATAACCCAAAACTAAATACCCTCACATCTACATGTATATACAACTAATTCAATATTATCTTCTTTGTAAATAACCATATTTTATTAATTAAATTGAAAACAGCTTCAAGAGTGGCCTAAGGGACAACCCTATCATGTTCTATAGTACTAATATTGATACTAATACTGGAAACTTATTTCATTTTCTCCATGCTCGTGGTATGAATGCATTGCAAATCAACCTAGTTGCTTTTGCTTGAGTAAAGGGATAACCCACTTTCAACTTGCTAATTACCCGCCCCATGTCTATGTAAAGTACCTGGTAACTACTATACATACATACATATATGTATGTATGTATAGTAGTTAGCGTGTGCGTGTGCGTGTGCGTGTGCGTGTGTGTGTGTGTAAGAATCAGGCACAACGCTGCAGAAACAGGCACTATAGCATTTAAATTAGATAAAGGGAGAACTATTGGCCTCCTCCACGGTAATCTCATTTCCTAGCATGTCTATGTATTCCCACAAATCGAAGGATGCAAAACAACTGACTGCAACTCAACCCTATCAACCCAGCAATTCTATGCGGCCAAACGCATGACATATTATTTGAAATTTAGTAGGATGTGAAGAATAAAGCAACATCCACCATGTGAATAAGTTGATGAAGCCACATTGTCATGAAATAGACTAAAACAAACAACATTACAATCATAACAGGCACGACTCAAAAGACATCAACTTTTTATCAAATATACCATTTGCTCAGGATGACTGGAGGATAAAAGGTCCTGCAAGACAGAGATTAATTTATGTTCCAACCCATCTGAAATCAACTTTGCTGCTTCATCCCATACAACATTTTCTTCTTTGGAGCAAATTCCAACGTACACTACACCAAGCGGCATCACAAGTATTAGGTTCGTAAGAATTCTCAAATCAGCTAATCACATAAAAGCATTGTTACTTAACACAGGGAAAGTATTATGGTCCAAATTTTTTAGCATTCCATGGCACAAAATAAAAGAACCATAAGAAATGGCAAATGAAAGAAACTTGGAACTAAAACAAGCGTGGTGGGACTTACAAGCATGCATAAGAATTCGCCTAGAACACTTCAGCAAGCATTGTCGCTCAATGTAGAACTGGAGCAATACCTTCAAAATAATAGGAAAGAAAAGGAAAGAAAAACTAAACACCTGTTAAAAAACTGATTATCAATCTCAACAAGCAAACATATTACGCATATGAATCAACTCAAAAAAGACTGGTGCAAACTACATGGAATTAGCTAAAAAAATATAGCATTTCAAATGCTCATGATAGTGGACTATCAACAAACAAAAAAGAACAAGAAATGTAATAAGAAAGTGAAATATCACACTGGGAGAAGTAACATTTGTGATCAATCAGCAAATTGGAAATATCACACTGGGAAAAGTAACATTTGTGATCAATCAGCAAATTGAAAAGCAGTAGCTGGGTTGCAAGCCCAAGAGAGCTTCATGTCCTTGCAAAATGCTAACAAGTAACAGAAATATATTTGTGTCCATAATCCTACCACTATCAGTAAAATTAATCACAGAATCAAATGCAAATAACTTGTCTCTAAATGTTTAACTGAAACCAAATGAAACAATATAAAAGCAAAAGCCAGAAGGCTACAAACCACATGAAGACAGTCTTCAACCATAGAATCAACCGCTAAATCATCACATTCAAGAGACCTCTCAACAAGAATATACGACTGCACCTCATCTAAACACTGCAACAAACACAAATTTAAATCAATGATTAAAAAAATAAAAAAAATCATTATCAATACTACATTTTACTCGAAATTTAAAATAAGCTAAGATTTAAAAAAAATCATTATCAACACTACATTTTACTCGAAATTTAAAATAAGCTAAGAAAAAAATAAAAAATAAATATCCACAAAAAATGCTAATTTCGCTATAAAAATAACATAAATAAACAAAACAAAAGCTAACCAGATAAGAGCTAATGTGCAAAGCTTTAACTTTCAATTCAGGCTTGACAGTAACTTCATGAGATCCAATCTTGATTATCTCCGAATCCAAAGCCTCTCGTGAATTCGCATTCGGTTTCTTGAATAGAGAAACAGTTTCCACAAACCATGCGTGATTGTCCTTCAACTTCTTCGCCTACAGCAGAAAAGAATATTCAAATTGTAAGCGAATAAAAAACAAATAGAGAGGGAGAAAGGAATAGGTGGTTACGAGGTGAGGAGGGAGGTCAGAGGAGAGAGAGGCATTTTCGAGGTCCGTGAGGATGGTAGTGAAAGAATCAAACCAAAGCGAGGAATCGACGGTTTTAGGGTTTGACATTGAAAGAGATTTCTGTAAATTCGAATTTTTTCTAAACCCTAAAGAGGAAGAAGGAGGAGATTGGAGAGGGTTTTTGGTTTTTTTTTTTTAATTTTATTTTGGCGC